TCATCTTTATTCATCAATGTTGTTCTTGTAGAAGAATATTTACAGTTGGTCCTTCTGATTTTTTGTTTGTGATTGGGTTGATGTTTTTTGTGATTATGATTGGGTTGATTTTTTAAATAAAACTGAGGAACACTGGATACTTTTCCAATAATAATTCTTTTTTTTTCAGTAATACTAATTTTTTTACATTTTTAACACAGGATATATTTTGTATGTGTACCTCTGTAGATGAGCCATACCTGAAATCCACAGACATAGAATGGTAAATTGAATATGCATTTTTTTTGATAGTAGGAGCTAAATCCATTTTGCGCAAGGTGTTCCAAATTTCTCCAGTTCCAGAGTCTCAAACTACTCCGTTGGCTTTCAAAACCCAACTGTGCTAAAGCTCTGTGTGTTTCTCTAATCTCTACCTCCTTGCTTTCATTTGAAGTATAAAGAAATGGAGCTGTATGAATGTTAGTTCTGCTTATGTCTCCTTCTTTCAGTCAGGGAGACAATTCATCCGTGTCCCAGTGACACTAAGGTAACCTAAGTGTGCATGAAGGTGTTGTCAGTGTTAGAAAAGATTCTCTGGATGTTCCTTCTGAGCTTGGGCCAGTCCAGGTGGTTGGGAATGTTTAATTCTTTTTGTTTTCTCAATATATCCTGGTATAATAATCCCTGATGTTTTCTCGGTGTATAAAAGATGTGTGGGGGAGACTAGTTGGGAAGCAAAATGAATTTTTTTCATCTGTTGCCTGAGCAACCCATACATGTGAGAAGCCCAGGGGGACCACATAACTTTCAGTTGTTGGATACAGCGCTCGGTGAGTTTTATGAGGGATCTTGACGATGGAAGGAAGGCTGGCTTTTGTGCTCTCCCTTGTCAGGATTTTGATGTCTCTCTCAGGAGTTAGGTAGTTTTGTTCTCTTCCAGCAGAAAGTACAATTAATGCAAGGTGCTGTTGGAGCAATTTTCTTGTTAAATTTGAATTAGGTAATTCATTTAGGAAACCTGAGAGGAAGTTGACACACTGAAACTAGATTCGCCTATGTGCTGCACTTTCAGTTGGAAAAGCAGTGGGAAATGTTTGCCTTTTATAGGCTTCAGGGCTGTTTCATATCGCTTCTGTTTTAACCATCTTTTGAATGAGCTTTAGTCAGATTTTCCTGTTTGCCACTGATCCTGTGCATGTGACTGGATCTGCCTTCCACAGTATTTCTCCCATTGAGCTACCCTGGTTCCTTTCTCTTAGGCTTTTGAATTGCCTCTAATTGAAAATGTTACTTTAAGGATTAAGTGTCTGTTTATTCTGCAACATTGTAACATTTGCCATTGAAAGCCTATTGGAAAAGTCTGGGTTTCTGGCTGGGGACTGATCGTGCTTTTTAGTGGCTGAAGATAAATATGCTTTTAGTAAACAAAACTGAACAGTTTGTTGCTTATGCTTTTGCATCATTTAATTTGCAACAGATGAAACTGGCATGCGTGAAGAGTGAAGCATGGAAAGTACTAGAGGGCAAACGGGTGGTTTGTGATGTGGATTATTACCCATAAAGATGGATAGGGTCCACAAAACATCACTTCATCTATTAATGCACCAGCTGGAAAAAAAAAAAAATCTATCAGCATACTATATCATGCATAAACTGCTGGGTTTAGTCCTTCAATTCAAATCCTGCTCAGTAATCTTCTCTATCTTTATGCTAGTCTGAAGATCTATATATGTATGTAGATCTTCCTATATATAAAAAGCATCTGTAGATTTTTAAAAATTCACAATACAAAAGGCTGGAAGTCATCCATATGTAAACTGTCTTGAAGGATTTATGGTACAATGTTTTGTTCTGTAGTGTAAACTGAGTGCTGACAGAAAAACAGTCAGAAATACATCTACCCAGCAGCCTTTCCTTTACCAGTTACAAAGTAATCTAATAATATGGCAATTCTTTTATGCTTTATATGTAACCATACAACAATTATTTTGCTGTACAAATTATTTCAAATTTCACACTGATAAATCAACAGAGTCCTGACTCAGTCCTGAGAACAATTCCTGTTAAGATATTTAGTCTTATCTCTTTGATGCATTATTTTCTAGCTCTTAGATTTGTTGTGGATCCATTTTAACTGTATTTATATGTTGCTTTCTTTTTACAAAAGGCTTTTTGAAGTATGAAGAGAGACTTTCTGAATATTTGCTGTTAAAAATTTGTCATCATGTTAATACTATTTGTAACAGATTCAGTGATTCTGACTTTATTTACCTCAGAGCCTCGTCTCTTTTGATTCTTTTTATTCCCTTTTTTATATGACCGATTAAAAATAAAATAGAAAAATCTAGTTGCAATAACTGGGAAAAACTAGTAAAGTAAATCTTTAGTCAAAGCATGAATGATTATGACATAACCAAAATTAATTCTCTTGATCCTCTTTCCATCTGGAGTAAGGGATAAGGTTATAACACAGGGAAAAAAAAAGGTACATTTAGAAGCATTCAAGGATGTTAAGCAACAATAAAACTCTGTAACCATTTAAATGACAGCAGCTGACTATTTGAATTAACTTTGTGTTTGGCTTAATTTTGGGGCCTAATTATTCCTAACTTACGTGAGTAGATTTCAATTATACAATACTGCAGGGATTTGTAGCTAAGGCAACTAAAGGAATGATTTTACATAAAGTACTTTTGTTCAACTGATTAGGCAAGTAAAAATGGAATGATAGAAAATGGTAACACTTGTCTGATAAGGGCCAGTGAATTGTTACCGATGACACTACGAAGAAATAACATAAGGAAATCTCATTATTGAAGATTTTGAGAAATTTTGGCAACATGTTTATTTATATCTTGATAGGATGGTATTAGTTAACTGGTCACAAGCAATTCTCTGGAGTATTAACAATATCTCTTATCAGTAAAAAGACGATGCATATCTTTGTGGTACCTTGGTTTGGCCTGGATGAGGTGGATATTTATAGAATCTTGTTAACAAATAATTTTATTCTTAGAAGGACTTTTTAATATGTATTTATTTATGGCAGTTAAGCATTTAAATGGGCAAAAGAAACTATCTTCATTGCGTGATATTTCATGCTTTAGACATAAAATCATTTTTAGACATACAATTCATCTCCAACATCCCACTTATTTAGAATTACTGTTCCATGAAAACAGTTCTCAATTATGCTACATTCTTAAGATAACCTGGGGGAATTAAAAGTGAAGGAGGTATTGGAATAAAAGCCTCTGGAATCAATTCCCGTTTTAATGCCTACACACATATATACCCTTCATTGGGAATTAATTTTTCAACAAATTACCTCCATAGTTAGAGCTTAAACCTGGGTAGTTTTATGCATATATAGATAGATGTAGATATAGATGATATCGAGAGATATATTTTGACACTGGGAGCGTATATACTCAGTTAAAATTTCCTTTTTATTCTTTGAGCATTTATAAAGTCATGCCTCCTAAATTGGATCTGCAGCATAAGTAGGTGTCTCCTTTTGATGATAGTAGACTAACTTCCCTAGATTTAGAATGCTTAATTTGTTTTCCCTCCATTTATCAAGCTCAACTTTTTTAGTTTCCAAAGTGTTGAAGGTTACAAGAGTGCTCATTCTGCTGACAACACAATAGCATGTCTGCAACCTAAACTATTAAGTCTGTTTTTAGAGCTGTCAGCTTTGCCCCATCACTTGAATATACACCTAGACCTTACAGTCAGATACTTTAGGAGAAGCACTGCAGTTGTTTTCTGTTTGTTGTGTTTAGGAGGTCAGAACTTGGAGTGTCTCTGATGAGGTTAATGGAAGGCTTTGATGCTGTTTAAAGGGAGGAAAAAACCCCTACTCATAAAGCATATAGTTAAAATGCATAACAGCAATTTCTAAATTAGATGCCATATAAATGCATGAAACAATAAAATCAGACAATAGTAAATGGCCATGCATCTCTTTCCTCTCTCTTGACAAATTCCATTTTTTATGGAAAATTCGTATTTTTGATCGTATGTCTGCTGTTAACATATTAATGTTACATGCTTTCAATTAGTACTGCTGACAAGTTATTTAGGAAAGTCTCTGGAGCATGGGGAGATGTGTACAGCTTCTCTGTGTCTATTGTTTGCTTTCCAAAGTGAAAGTATTAAGATTTAATTATCAGAAGCTGTTTGCAGTAGGCAGTGTGCCTTGGAAAGCCCTTCAGGGGTGAGGCTGCAGATGCCACCTGGGCAGGGGGACACTCGTGCCTCGGGAACTGGCATCGCAGAGGGTACGTGCAGGGGTACGGGGGTGGACACTGAGCTGCAGCATTTCCATCCCATAGTGGGAGGAAGTGTTGACTCCTGCTCTGCCACTCCATCAGCTCCCTGTGTCTCTCTGGCACCCCTGTGGTGGACTGATGCAGGAGGCAGGACCTGCAGAAGACAGCCTTTCTCTTAGAAAGAGCCTCCCCCAGCCTCTTCCCTGAACCATGTCACTCAGGCATTTGACACCTGGGAGAGGTGTAGGTCATGGTGGAGCTGTCAGAGTGCTTCACCCTTAAATAGATAAAAAGACAGTGAGATCTGTGCATCCACTGAAGCTTGGGAAAATATTGTGCTAGTTCAATGGGCATTTTCTTTTCGAAATGGAAAACTGGTCTAAAATGTGCCATTCTTTGTTAGAATGCAGTACCAGTTAGAGTACAGTACCACTTAACATGATTAATGTTCCTTTGTGGGACCCTGTCATTTAAAGTCAGAGTATCTAGAGCCTAATTCTCCTTGGTTTACTTATGGAGATGGTCTGCAAGGGTTTACAAGTGCAAAAATGAAGACAGGCTATGTATGTTTATAAGGGTGTGATTGGGCAGGTCCAGAGTTGCATCTGATTTCTGTCCTGAGCAGGGAATGGAGATTTTTCCAAAGGGTTAATTTCCCAGATAAACCATCCCTTTCAAGACTACTTTAGTGATTTTAAGAGTGCATATACTTTTACTGGAACAGAAATTGTCTCATATCTTAGTCCTTCAGATTTTTTTCTTTCACTGGTAGTCAGTAGTCAGCCTCAGAGGAAGATGCCAAAATACATAAATGCACAAAGCAGCTTGCTTAGAGTGTACATTTCTTAATTATCCACTGTCATTGAGTACCAGTAGATATTTCTTGACTCATTGCTTAGGATTTAAAAAAAGGTGTTCAAGTTTTAATTTTGGGTTTTGGAGTGTGTTACTGTGGCCGTGAATCTCCTTGTCTTTTGTGAACTTTTTAAAGACATTATTACAGAGCATATTTCTTCATCTCTCATTTCTCAGTGCATTTTCAGATCATTTAAGTAGTACAGTAAATAATACTGCTGCCTTGTAAATTTTGCCACCCTGTTCTCTCCCTCCACCCTCTCCATCATGCTTTTCTGATGATCGATGCCATCTCACAGACCTCGGCTGTGCAGAGGAAATCATTCTGCTTCTCTGCATTGTCTTCCTTAGCCTTTGTTGGTCACCTAATTCAGCAAACTCATCACTTCTCACACAAAAGAAGCTTCCTACTTTTGTTGTACTTAAGAAATATCTGGTTGTGAGATCATTGGAAAGCATTTTGGAAAAAACACCTGTGAGTTTAAGATATGTACAGAACACAGCAATGGAAAAACATACTAAAGAGTCAACAGACAAAATCAGTCATAATTTGCCAGTTTGTTTAATTTTATGTATTGGTACAAGTCATAGTGCCAGATATTTTCCTTTAATTTTGCAGCACAGCTATAAATTTTGCTATATCTAATTGCAGCAAACTTTTTCTGCTCAGCAATTTTATTTATTCTTGCTGAGCAAGTAGTGTGTTTATATGAAAAATACTTTTATATATAAATTTGGTTTATGGATGTTTAAGGGCTTACAATTTTCCCTTTAAACTCGAGCTTAATTTTTTATGTGTTTTTTTTAATGGAAAGATTTTATGGCCAACACATGCCCCATGAGAAAAGGAAGAAGTTACAGATGGTCCAGAGTAGAGGGTCTGTTCCATACATAAAAACTTCATGTCAGCATTTCAACAGAGCAGTTTCTTAGGGTATCTCTGTTATCACTGACACTTTCACATTGACAAGCATATGGGATGTAGTGCTGAATGTGTAAATTGAAATGATCACATCTAGCATTTCTCTGTACCAGGTGCCAGCTTGCTGCTGCAGCTCTGCACTTAATGTTGAAGGAGGAGTGCTAGGAATAGTTGCATTTGCTAATTACCTCTTATCTCCAGCACATAGTCCTTGGGCAAACAGCTTACCCAGGTGTTTTTGAGAACACCTATCTGGACAGTACAGGACTGCAGGTGGTCCTGTGGTGACAATACAGAGTGCAGAACATGTAAGAAATCTCCATCCATCTGTGCACGAGGGTTTTTTTCTCTCTTTTTTTTAAGTCTTCAGTGAAGAACAGAAGATAAATTTGTGAGAATTTTTCTGTCCTTATAAAGTTTGTGTGAAAAGCAAAAGACTGCTATTCCACAGCCCAAGAAAAATGTGTGCATGTGTGTCTTATGTTTGAGGGGTTTGAGGTGATAACAAACCTGATTGTCCTGTCTTGCAATTTCTGTGGAAAGAAAAGAATGTACATGCCAGTGAGAGTTTTGCAAGGACCTGCAAGTTAAAATAAATAAAACGTGGTGGTTTAAGGAAGAGGTAGAATCTAAATTGCCTTTCAGTACTTCTTTTCCAGGATCCAGTTTAACAGGATTATATAATTTTACTAATAACACTTTGATCTGTCATTTATACAAAAAGGCAGGCTTTCCAAAGCATTTGCCTTACATGTTCTTTTTGGGCTAGACTTAATCACTTGCAGAACTGATAATATTTTCTCATTCTTTAAAAATTCACATTAGAGTCTTATACTTAATAGGACTGTGGTTTGAGCACAGAATGTTAAAAGGAACCATTTAATTCATAATCCAGTAATTCAGACAGCTAAATTATCCCTCCCTTTACCTGATATTTATTAAAATGAATCCAAAGAAACTTCAGAAATGTTGCTATCATCCAATTGCCCTTTTAGGTTTCTTTATTGCTATATAGAACATTCCTTACTATGAGTAAGTGCAACATCTGTTTGTTTATGATTTCTCCTTGCATTTTTCCTCCCTTCTTAAAGGACTTACAGTTTTCAATCTTAGGCATTCTATACAGGCTAAAATTCATGGTGTTTACTCATGAATCTGAGTGAACTGAGCATCTCAGTTATATATATTTGCCCAAGACAACTTTATTGGTAGTTGCATCTTTACACTTTTATTTCTTGCATCTAGTTTTTAATATTTACTAGCACTCAGAAGATGGTGTTACATAGCAACTTGTTAATTAAAGAAAAGACACCCCACACCTAACAAAGAAAAGCAAGGAAAAATAGCCCCCCCAGAACCAGCCCAATGGGAAAAAGACCCCCCAGCCTGTAGTCCCAAATGAAATGAGGCTGAGCATGCAGTTACTCTATGCAAATCAGGCTGCCTTAAGCTCGGGGTGTGGGTTTTTGTGTCATGGAGTAAATCTCTTTTCTTTGCATATCTGAGCTAGTGCCAGTGCATGTTGTGTGCAGAGGCCATGGGTTTGGGGTTACAGTGTCCAGTGTCTCGCTGGGTTCAGTCCCAGCAGTTCCCTGCCTTGCTCTGGAGTTGGGGTGTTCCCCGTGCAGCCCAGCCTGGACTGCTGGATGCCCCCAGCCCTGGTGGCCCTGTGCTGGCACCAGCTGGGGCTTGGCCCCAGTCCAGCACCAGCCTGGGTTGTTTCCAAGCCCTGGCAGTGGCTAGGCATTGATGGGGATGTGCAATGCAGCGTTATGATGGATCAAATTAACTCTGCAACGATTTCCTCAGTCTCCCATCAATGTTCTAGCTTTTACAAAGCTTCAGTTTTCTGTCCTAAGAGCAGGTATTTTTAAAAGTGTTTGTAACTCTTGGTGATGGAGGCAGCTGCTGTAGGTGCACGTGGGTTCTCAGGTGTTACTGAAAATGTGTTAATGGATGCCATTAGGCATTTTACCTGCATTTTAGGTGTCTAAAACATTATTATGAGGCTGTGAGAGTGGTGTTTTCCAGCTCTTGTTTCTGCTGAAGTTCATTAACTTGAAGGAAATGGGTAAATAACAAAGACCAAAATGCATCTTGAGCCTAGGAATTTATTCCAGGCCTCTGAAGAACTCATTTACCTTGTTCAAGGGGTCAGTTCTCTCTGTGACTCCTAGACCAGGAAAAACAGGTTTTTTCAGAGAATACCTCCAGGCCAGGTAAGGCCCCAGACCTTTTAACTCTGATTTTCATTATAATGGCTTTCCCAGTCCAGGCATGAATAGACATCTGGGAAGCTGATCTGCTCATCCTGAAATAGCCTGAGCACAAAGTCAGATCAGCTATTTCTTATTTCTTGTCTTTCTGATATTTGTTGTAGCAGATTCATAAGTTTTACTGGGAGATTTATGAACTCAGCAGGGATTGATCATGTAGAAACAAACTGAAATCAGAGAAAACTGGACAGTTTCACAAAAACACAATTTTTTCACTCCTTTCCAAAATTCACCATACAAAAAACATGTCTCTAAATTAAATAAATGGGAAATAGTTGTAGTGAAATATTTTATATTGGAAAAAGATGAAGTGATTTTAAGAGTAATGTTTATATCATTTTTTAAAGAATATTCTAAAATTAAGAAAATTATTAAATAAAAATTCTAATCTTATCATATTAAGCAAATTAATTTTCTATATCCTTTATATATTATTTTAAAATAAATATATATAGATATATATTTAAATTTAAATTTATTGTATATTTAATTTAAATGTACTGCTTGCCTTTAGTACTATGCTGTCTTATAACTCCAATATAATGATTATTTGAAGGATGGTTTGTTTTTTTTCAGGTTTTGCACTGCAATGTGTGTTTCTTTTGGCTTTATACTTTCCTTTTTGCTCTTCAGCTTTATATCATTAAGACTATTTTGAAGAATATGTAGGAGGAGATAGAGGTTGAGCTACAGAAATAAACTCTTCATTGTTTTCATCATACTGGTGTTTCCTATGGTCAACATGTAATCTCCTTTGTTCTGTCAACAGTAGAAAAGTATTTAAGCACATTGTTGTGCGGGTCAGTGCTATTTCAAGATCTAGCCATCCCTATTCTCATGCATTCTCTCATGATTTCATTATTCACATGGTGAGCTGTTGGTACCACAGGGATGGCACTGCCTGTGCTCAGGGTGTGCTGTTCCCTGCAGAAGAGGCTGGATTCACGCAGAAGGCAATAGATCTGATATTTTAAGAAACACAAACTGTGTTCTTTTACCTTTTAACATGGCATATTTTCTGTTACTGAATCGTAGTGGGTCAGAATCTGAACAAAGGAATTGGTTATTACAACTGTAGCAGAATCACGGATTTGTTTTGTTTACTGTTTCACTTAAGTTTCAGCTGGAGGAAAATGCATTTTGTAGTGACAAGACTTCCCAACTACTATGAAACAGTAATGGACAGGCAGTGTAGATGCTAGCCAAAGCACTGGAAAAGAGGCATTAGGCAATATGTAAGCTATGTATATGCTGAATATTTCTAAATACATGAGATTTGTAATCTGAAGTTTTACATTATAGTAAATCTTGAATCTCATTTGAATGAAACATGATGCCCTGGTTCAAGAAGTGTGGTGTCCTACTTAATTGCATTTTTTTAAAAAAAGAAATTATTACTCCAGAAAGCAGAAGGGAGAAATATAAATTTCCATAGCTGTATTTGATATGACTAGTTTTGGAAATCGTGAAAGGCAGAGATGCCTAATAGGAGAGTTTTGATGGAAGGGAGAGGAAGGTAGCCCTAAGCAAGTGCTGTGAGCAGCCCTGGAGGGACTCCATCTTTAACAAAGGAACAGAGAAATGTAGCTGCAAATAACTCTCTGAAGCAAGTTAGCTATGGGTAAAGGAGGAGCTCAAAAACCTGCAAGTAAACCAAGACAAGTGCAACAGCTAGGAAGGGTTTGCTTAGGAAGGAAGCTCTTCTTCTTTGCTTTTGAATTTTACTTAATTCTTTTCAGTTTTCTAGTGAAGGAAGTGACACTTTCACACCTCTCAATTCTTAAAAATACTTACCTACCTAACCTGTACAGGGCGTGTTCAGGACAGCACTGGGATGCATTTCCTGCTCAATTGCCAGTAGCAGCCTGACAAGTGGGATTATGAGTGTCAGACCAGAGAAAAACGATCTCACAGGCAGCAAGGTGCCCCGTTTGGCAAGAGGGCGATTGCAACAAGGCAGCATGATCCTGCAGGGCGGGGGAGAGAAAACGCTTCTTATGCGGGAAAAGCTGCAGCCTCTCAGGCCAAATAATTGTGTGCGAGAAACTTTTGTAATGAGTAACGTGCAGTTTCTCACATGGAACCTCAAAATAATGAAAAACAAATATCACAGCTTTTCTAGTCCATTTTTGTGACGTTTGGAATATTTGGAAGATATCTGAAGGAGAAAAGCTTTTTTTCACCTAGTCCAGCTTTCTCCACAGTTTGAGTGGAATTGATGCAAAACAAACAAAAACACTTAGCCATAGGAACACAATATACTTTTAAACAAAGAATAAAAACAACTGAATTATCGCTACAATTAAAGTGTGCCTATAGTGTTTTTTGCATTGTTGATACTCTAAAGGAGTTAGAAATGGTAACATGTATCTTGCGTCTCTGAGCTGGGTTGTTAGCTGTAATAATCTCATGAAAAATCAGAACCCTCTCAATTCCTCATTGTCTGAAGGACTTTCATTTTCTAATTTCCCCTTCAGCTGTTTTTCTATATTTCTGGTTTGTCTATAATTAAAAAAAAAAAAAAAAAAAAAAAAAAAAAAGGAGGTAAAAACTCATGTCTATTTTCTTTTGCAGTGTTTCCCTTTGGGGCAATTCTTAATCTCCCAGAAGCATCAAAACATTCAAGTTAATGTTGGTTTAGTGGCCAGTCCTGATAAGAGAGCATTCTTTAGTGCATATTCTTGTATCTTTTCTTCCCCTTTCACCCAGTAGGATTGTGGATTAATAGAAAGGTTTGGAGTTTACGTTGCAGATGTGTTCAGCTGCTAGTCTCTGCCTCCCACCAGCCTACCCTATTTCCTTGCCAATTCAAACAGCACTTTCCAGATTTTCCTAATGAAATTCAGTTCACCTTACTCAGCCTAAGTACTAGAGGGATGTATTAATTTAACCTAGAAACTTGATCTGTGAGTTATCTCAGATCTATCAGCCTAGGTGCTTGTTCGGACTTGGATCCAAGTCGCAGGAGTGAAAATTTCTTGCTAGAAATTTTAACTGCAATTTCTAGGCATAGCTAGCATTATCAAGATAGCAAAGAATTAAGTTGTCTCATTACTCTTCACTTTACAGAGGTGAGAAT